AGCTCAGACTGTTCATTGTTACCCAAATAACAAGCCGTGGGTGACTAAGGACATCAAAGCCCTCCTCAACAACAAGAAGAGGGCTTTCAGAGGGGCAACAAAGAGGAGGTGAGGAAGGTCCAGGTGTTACTAAAGGACAAGATCAGAGAGGCTAAGGACAATTACAGGAGGAAGCTGGAGTGGAAACTCCAGCAGAACAGCATGAGAGAGGTGTGGAGGGGCATGAAGACCATCACTGGATTCAGGCCAACCAACAGCAGGGGAGCTGAGGGAGGTGAGAATAGAGCCGACGAGTTGAATCTGTTTTTCAATAGATTCGACACCACAGTGTCTGCTCCCACCCCCACAACCTCACCTGCAGTCAGCCTGGAATCCAGAGCCACACCACTGTGCCAGCCTCTCTCTTCACATGTTGCCTCCTGTGAGATTCCTGACACCCCTCCCCCACCCATCACCTTCACTCAATACCAGGTTGAGATGCAAATGAGGAGACTTCACTCAGGCAAGTCTGCTGGACCAGACGGAGTGAGTCCCCTTGTCCTCAAGACCTGTGCCCCCCAGCTGTGTGGAGTCTTTCATAAACTGTTTATGCTGAGTCTGAGTCTGCAGAGGGTCCCGGTGATGTGGAAGACATCATGCCTCGTCCCTGTACCAAAGACGCCTCGTCCCAGTGGCCCCCAGGATTACAGGCCCGTGGCACTGACCTCCCACATCATGAAGACCCTGGAAAGGCTCATCCTGGACCAGCTGCGACCCATAGTAAGACCACATCTGGATCCCCTTCAGTTCGCTTATCAGCCTCGTCTCGGAACAGAGGACGCCATCATCTACCTGCTCAATCGTGTCTACACCCATCTGGACCAGCCGGCGAGCACTGTGAGGGTCATGTTTTTTGACTTTTCCAGTGCTTTCAACACCATCAGGCCGACCCTCCTGGGTGATAAGCTAACAGCGATGCAGGTGGATGCTTCTCTGGTGTCCTGGATTGTTGATTAGCTGACAGGAAGACCACAATATGTACGTCTCCCACAGTGTGTGTCTGACAAGGTGATTAGCAACACAGGGGCACCACAGGGGACTGTCCTCTCCCCATTCCTCTTCACCCTCTACACCACAGACTTCAGCCACTGCACAGAGACCTGCCATCTTCAGAAGTTTTCTGATGACTCTGCGGTGGTTGGATGGATCAGCAGGGATGATGAGACAGAGTACCGGGCTGTGGTCGACTCCTTTGTCACGTGGTGTGAGCAGAATCATCTGCAGCTCAACGTGGCAAAGACCAAGGAACTGATCGTGGACTTCAGGAAGACCAGGAAACACTTGACCCCTGTTTCAATCCAGGGGGTCAGTGTTGACATTGTGGAGGACTATAAATACCTTGGAGTACACATTGACAATAAACTGGACTGGGCTAAAAACACCACAGCACTTTACAGGAAGGGCCAGAGTCGTCTCTATTTTTTGAGGCGACTGAGGTCCTTCAACATCTGCCAGAAAATGCTGAGGATTTTCTATGAGTCTGTGGTGGCCAGTGCGATCCTCTATGCTGTTGCATGCTGGGGGAGCAGGCTGAGGGTCGCAGATGCCAACAGACTTAACACTAGCATCCCCAGGCTTCTACCTTTCTACCTATAAAACCCGAGAGCAGTCAAATGGTGGAAGTGGAAGCTAAATTGGCTAAATTGACCGCGGAGTCATCATTTTGCGTTTCTACCTTTAAAAGCCGGAGAGCAGTCAGTCAAATGCTGGAGTCATTCATATGTATATTAGGTCGTTACCTAGGAATTCTAGGTAACGACCTAAGGTAACGACAAGGTACCACATGTGTACCTGTAGCAGTGAACACATCGCACAGTGGCCTGATTTTTTTTGCATCTGTGTACTTGGATTTTAGGTCGCAAGCCACCCAAAACTTGCTCCATGCACCACTCAGCAGGCCATTTGTAAATATGTGTACAAATGGTTGGTTTTTTGTACTGTTTTTATCAATAAATGTCAGCAACAAAGGACATACACCCATGTGTGTTGATTTCTCCCTAAGATGGCAAACTGAAACACTCCAAGTTGGTGACTTTTGGAGATTTGTTTCCCTGGATGATTGAGAATGCATCAAGATGAAACACAAAAGGAAGCTCACCGCTTTTAGCAGCTCCCCCACCCCCTCAATCACTCAGTGAGTGATTGAGGGGGTGGGGGAGTGGAGTGTTTCAGTGTTTCAGTTTGCCATCTTAGGGAGAAATCAACACACATGGGTGTATGTCCTTTGTTGCTGACATTTATTGATAAAAACAGTACAAAAAACCAACCATTTGTACACATATTTACAAATGGCCTGCTGAGTGGTGCATGGAGCATGTTCATTGGTTCATGGACCTCCCTGAACTAATGGCATTTACTGAAAATGTTGAAATGTACTCACTCACTTTTTATCATTATTTGTAAATATGTGTACAAATGGTTGGTTTTTTGTACTGTTTTCATCAATAAATGTCAGCAACAAAGGACATACACCCATGTGTGTTGATTTCTCCCTAAGATGGCAAACTGAAACACTCCAAGTTGGTGACTTTTGGAGATTTGTTTCCCTGGATGATTGAGAATGCATCAAGATGAAACACAAAAGGAAGCTCACCGCTTTTGTTGCTGCCATAAATGCCATTAGTTCAGGGAGGTCCATGAACCAATGAACATGCTCCATGCACCACTCAGCAGGCCATTTGTAAATATGTGTACAAATGGTTGGTTTTTTGTACTGTTTTTATCAATAAATGTCAGCAACAAAGGACATACAAAGGACATGTGTTGATTTCTCCCTAAGATGGTAAACTGAAACACTGAAACACTCCACTCCCCCACCCCCTCAATCACTCACTGAGTGATTGAGGGGGTGGGGGAGCTGCTAAAAGCGGTGAGCTTCCTTTTGTGTTTCATCTTGATGCATTCTCAATCATCCAGGGAAACAAATCTCCAAAAGTCACCAACTTGGAGTGTTTCAGTTTGCCATCTTAGGGAGAAATCAACACACATGGGTGTATGTCCTTTGTTGCTGACATTTATTGATAAAAACAGTACAAAAAACCAACCATTTGTACACATATTTACAAATGGTCTGCTGAGTGGTGCATGGAGCAAGTTTTGGGTGGCTTGCGACCTAAAATCCAAGTACACAGATGCAAAAAAATCAGGCCACTGTGCGATGTGTTCACTGCTACAGGTACACATGTGGTACCTTGTCGTTACCTTAGGTCGTTACCTAGAATTCCTAGGTAACGACCTAATATACATATGAATGACTCCAGCATTTGACTGACTGCTCTCCGGCTTTTAAAGGTAGAAACGCAAAATGATGACTCCGCAGGGGTCTAAGGTAGAAAACCAAAATGACTGCTCTCCGGGGGTCTAAGTACTGATCCGTAAGGCCAGCAATGTTGTGGGGATGGAGCTGGACTCCCTCAAGGTGGTGTCGGAGAGGCGGATGCTGTCCAAGATAAAGACAATGTTGGATAACACCTCCCACCCACTCCATGACATGTTGGTCAGTCACAGGAGCTCGTTCAGTGAGAGACTGAGATTACCGAAAAGCACCACTGAACGACACAGGAAATCATTCCTGCCTGTGGCCATCTCCCTGTACAACGCATCCACTTAACACACTGTTTACTGCAACAGCTACACATGTTTCTTTTCCAACTATTTATTTATAAGTGACTTATGTATGTATGTATGTATATATATATGTATATATTGTACTATTCTTAGTTAGCGTATTGTCTGTCTTGTCTTAATGTTGGTTTAAAATGGAGCACTGTAACAAAAAATAATTTCCCCCAGGGATCAATAAAGTATTCTGATTCTGATTCTGATTCTGATTAATATTTCAATAAATTTCTGCACCCATTTTCCGAGCAAAACATAAAGAAATGAGGGACGGCTCAAGTCTTTACTGTACTTTGTGTTGGTAAGCTGTAAAAATGTCTGAACTTCTCATAGTTTTTAATTTCTAACAAATGTTCTTCCTTTTTCTTCCCTCTTCCCCTGTTCTCTTCCAACAGAGCAGAGTTATGCGTCAATATGGCCCAATTTATGAGGAACTAGTTCTTTCCTGATAGCGAACGGGAAAAGTACAGAATCAATCTCTGTCTCTCTCTCTTTCTCTCCCATGGCATTGCCCATCATGAAAGCCCCCGAAAACACAAGTCACTGCATTAAAGTGCATTTGAGATACATACAGGACACCCTCCCTAAGCAAACTAGGCACCCCACATGCTTGTAGGGATATTAAATGCACGCAAATACACAAACACTATTAATTATCTGTATTCTTTTTTCCTGGGAAATACTTCAAACGTATACATTCCTCCCAGGAAAATCTCTTCCCTTTCCCACAGACAGGAAACACCAATCACTCAGGACCCAATCAGCAGAACCAGAATCCACTGGATTCTACACAGTTCTACACCACATGCAACCCTCTCTGCGTCTAATCAACACCAGCGCAGCAAACTCAGCCCACTCAGTGACTGGGCTTCATGTGCATGCCCTCCCTTACAGCTGGCACTGCTCTCATTATGGACCTAATCAGTACAACCAGGGCTCTTGTCAAGACATTCTCCACAGAATAGTCTCTCTTTGATATGATGCAAATGCCGAATTCCAAATATCCTAATTTTCGGAGATTCAACTGGATTTGTGAAAGAATAAAAAGCTCTGTTTCAGATCCTCAGCCACACAAAACCCCTCATCAATGGAAGATGCTCCACTTGGACAGAAAATTCTTGATGACTAATGTGAGCCAGTAGTTCAAAGCTACTTCTAAATGAAGCGTGAGTACCAACCAGGTCCAACACACTAATCTAATTTGTAGCTGACACACTTGGAATTGCAAAGATCAACCAGAAAATTACAACTACAGCCAAAACGTGTGTCCTTGAATGTCTCTGTATGTTTTCTTTTTTCCTTCCAATATACTGCATGGTCATGTTTTAATGTGTGTTTCTCACCACCAGCAGCAGCAGCACCATATCAGCATGGTCACACACACAGGCTACATGTAGGGCTGTCCACAGGTCTTCGTCCTGCAGGTTGACGCTCAAGCCTCGTTCAATCAGAAGTTCTGCTGCAAAGACATTGTCATGGCGGGCACACTGCAGAATGCAAAAAGAAGGAAATTACAGTACAGGGAGTGCAGAATTATTAGGCAAATGAGTATTTTGTCCACATCATCCTCTTCATGCATGTTGTCTTACTCCAAGCTGTATAGGCTCGAAAGCCTACTACCAATGAAGCATATTAGGTGATGTGCATCTCTGTAATGAGAAGGGGTGTGGTCTAATGACATCAACACCCTATATCAGGTGTGCATAATTATTAGGCAACGTCCTTTCCTTTGGCAAAATGGGTCAAAAGAAGGACTTGACAGGCTCAGAAAAGTCAAAAATAGTGAGATATCTTGCAGAGGGATGCAGCAGTCTCAAAATTGCAAAGCTTCTGAAGCGTGATCATCGAACAATCAAGCGTTTCATTCAAAATAGTCAACAGGGTCGCAAGAAGCGTGTGGAAAAACCAAGGCGCAAAATAACTGCCCATGAACTGAGAAAAGTCAAGCGTGAAGCTGCCAAGATGCCACCAGTTTGGCCATATTTCAGAGCTGCAACATCACTGGAGTGCCCAAAAGCACAAGGTGTGCAATACTCAGAGACATGGCCAAGGTAAGAAAGGCTGAAAGACGACCACCACTGAACAAGACACACAAGCTGAAACGTCAAGACTGGGCCAAGAAATATCTCAAGACTGGTTTTTCTAAGGTTTTATGGACTGATGAAATGAGAGTGAGTCTTGATGGGCCAGATGGATGGGCCCGTGGCTGGATTGGTAAAGGGCAGAGAGCTCCAGTCCGACTCAGACGCCAGCAAGGTGGAGGTGGAGTACTGGTTTGGGCTGGTATCATCAAAGATGAGCTTGTGGGGCCTTTTCAGGTTGAGGATGGAGTCAAGCTCAACTCCCAGTCCTACTGCCAGTTTCTGGAAGACACCTTCTTCAAGCAGTGGTACAGGAAGAAGTCTGCATCCTTCAAGAAAAACATGATTTTCATGCAGGACAATGCTCCATCACACGCGTCCAAGTACTCCACAGCGTGGCTGGCAAGAAAGGGTATAAAAGAAGGAAAACTAATGACATGGCCTCCTTGTTCACCTGATCTGAACCCCATTGAGAACCTGTGGTCCATCATCAAATGTGAGATTTACAAGGAGGGAAAACAGTACACCTCTCTGAACAGTGTCTGGGAGGCTGTGGTTGCTGCTGCACGCAATGTTGATGGTGAACGGATCAAAACACCGACAGAATCCATGGATGGCAGGCTTTTGAGTGTCCTTGCAAAGAAAGGTGGCTATATTGGTCGCTGATTTGTTTTTGTTTTGTTTTTGAATGTCAGAAATGTATATTTGTGAATGTGGAGATGTTATATTGGTTTCACTGGTAAAAATCAATAATTGAAATGGGTATATATTTGTTTTTTGTTAAGTTGCCTAATAATTATGCACAGTAATAGTCACCTGCACACAATGATATACCCCTAAAATAGCTAAAACTAAAAACAAACTAAAAACTACTTCCAAAAACATTCAGCTTTGATATTAATGAGTTTTTGGATTCATTAAGAACATGGTTGTTGTTCAATAATAACATTATTCCTCAAAAATACAACTTGCCTAATAATTCTGCACTCCCTGTATTGTTAGATTTATTGGAACCACAGGAGTGGTTCAGTGCACATACACTAATAAGTTGTAAATATGGAAAAATGTCCAGCAGTAGTAAATAAAATTTTGCCACTGTCACGGAGGAATGTAATACATTTTTGTAAAAATAAAGGCATGGACAACGGTTATAAGTATAAACATGTTACATTTATATGAGTGACAATATCATTCTGTGAGGACACATAACAATGTCCTGATTTTTTAAATCTGTGCATTAGAAATGCAGGAATTCCAGGGAAGATGAATGTGAGTGTAAAAAATGCCACTTCCTGTTAGGGACATATCTTACCAAGTGTAGCAAGGATCCCCCAGAGGAAATGGGAGTGTTGGGGTCAACACCTTCTTTCAGGAGGCGCAACACTGCAACACACCAAACATCCATATGTTAGCACCTGCTGTTTGCGAGGACAGGCAGCGTGCTTAAGGCAAGCACAGTAGACACATACGCAAACACAGGCATCACTATCAAAACCGATGTGTGTCGAGTGAGTGTCCTCTGACTGTCCTTGTTACGTCAGTGCGGATCAGTGTTAAGTTGTGCGTGCATGTTTGGTAACCCCTGTTTTCTGACCTGCTGCTGGGGCAACAGCGAGCCACGCAACCCAATAACACACTGACACAGATCGACTAAAGGAAACATAAACCATTACAAACAAGCTGACACAGTCAGACATAAACAGATAAGCAGACATGGTTAACACAGATAAGCAGGGTCCTAAGATTTTGCTATAAATTTGATGTGTTTTTAAAGAAATAAATGTGAACGTAGCAGCACACAGTGACAGAGCGAGAGCGACAGGACACTGGGGTGTGCGACAGATGAATAGAGACTGATAGTCAAAAAGAAAGGCAGGTGGTGCGCTGTAGTTTGGACACATGTGAATTCAGTGACACTGACAGCACTAGACGGCTGCTGACTGAACCGAGGAAGACCTTATACCAACACTGTCACACAATCCCACCACATATGCCACATACACAAACGCATACAGTCTGTTGCATTAGCACATACATGAACATCTACACAGAGCCATGGCAAAATATTACACTTTAAAGTTTTTGCTAAAATCTAAAGGAAAGGATCTGTTAAACACTACTGTCTTAAAATTTACTAGCATTGCAAATGGATTCACCTGCGATAAATATGTGTATTTTATAAACACAGATAACTGTTTGAAGTGTGCATCGTGCATTTACACACCATCCACAACTACAGTATATGTTAACGAACTAAAACACCACATCAGAAATCAGGGAACAATTAACAATGAGCTGGTTGGCAATAAAAATTCAGAATTATCTTCAGATATTAAGCAAAGTAAAAAAAAATCTCAATAATTTAAACATTTATCAATCTAACGTAATATGATGTATGGTTTGGACATGGCAGACCTGAAAACAAGATTAGAAATGAGTATATGAGAGTGACAACTTAGGCTGAGCAGTTTGAAGACAAAGTTAAAGGCTGAGATCATTTGGGACACATACAGAGCAGGGATAGTGGATATATTGAGAAAAGCATTTTGCCCATGGAGTCGTCAGAAAGGAGGAAAAGACGACTGCAGGAAAGGTTGATGGATGTAACGCAGGAGGACATGCAGGGGGTTGGTGTGCAGAGGGTTCATGTGTTGGTATAAGAAAGGGGAAAGGGTGAGATGGAAGAAGAGGATATTCACTAATCACTTGGTTGGCCTATCATTGTAGAGGCACATGCACACATATCAAGCAAGCCAGACATTATACAAAGAATGTTTTTCCATTCTTCTCATGGCTGCAGTGCTTAATAGCATTTAAGTGGTGGATGAGTAATAAACAGACCAGTGCTGGATCCAATCAGCATAATTATCTCCTCAAGTCTCCATATGCTGTGGAGACACAAGACTGTAAAACATCAATTAAAGTACATCTAAAGCTGAATTAGTTACGGGGGAATTGATAATGTTCCTGCTTTCTTGTCTATTAAACAATATATCACAACTCATCAGTGAACTCAGAAGGACAGTTTTTAAGAATGTAAAGCATCTTGTGATTCACAAATGGTAAAAGTTGGTATATTGAAGGTTGGTATATTTTCCTGGTTAGGATAAACTCGGGTTTTAAAATGACCCAACTGATGGAGTTAGTTAGTAAGGAGCTTTCATTCAACCTGCCTGGATTTTATGGCCCACAGCTGCAGACAGGTCAAGGGTCAAGTGGTTCATAATGTCATCAAGTAGCAAATGGGGAAAAAATGTTTGTCTGACAATATGGCCATCGGGAATCAATAGTACTGTTGCACGCGTGTCCATCTGTTGTGTGCATTAGTAGTAAAGCTGCCAGCTATGCTAAATATCACTAATATTGAAGGCTTTCATTTAAAAATGCTTTGTGTGTCTTATGATCCCAAACATATTTTGTATTATACCTTTATGTAGCTTAGATTAAGATAACAGTTATTATTTATTATTGTAATTTGCACTGCTTTCTTACAATGTCAGTCTTACTTTCGCTGTTTTTTTTTAACTAACTTCATTTGTACATTTTTTTTGCTTTTGATCATTGCTGTATTTATCTCCATAGCATAAGGCTCTTACCAGGTGCCTTTGGCACTTTAACTTAACTGATGTTTATTGCAGACTGTACTATTTTTATACTTTATACTTTATAATGCTGCTGTAACACAACAATTTCCCTTGTAGGATCAATAAAGTATCTATCTATCTATCTATGAACACTGAAACAAGTTTTGCTTCCTGTAGGCAATATTCCTGTCAAGTCAAACTAGGGGCATCCAATTATCCCTGTCTAACGTACGTCAAATAATGGAAGACAATAGCAAACAAAATCCCAAGACTTTGTTCTCAGCATAAACATGGTATAATCCAAAGTTCAGATAAAGTTTATACAGAACTTCAGAAGCCTGATTTAGACAGCTCAGGTAGGTGTCACCCAAAGTTTGAGTCTTTTTAGTGCAACATTCCCTCTTTGTGTCACTAAGTCTTTACAATAACTAAGTGCAGAAACAGTAGGCAGGGGAAAGTCAAATTTAATACCATGAGCTTCCAAAAAAACCTGAATGTATTGGATTTTATCCCCTGTTTGTTCCTATGGAATCATCTTTACAAAGGATCTGTCAAAGTCCTGCATACACAGAAGTAACGATTAACACAAGCAAAGTTTATTGAAGAAAGATGAAACAGTGTGAATCCATAGTTTAAATCATGGCTTGACAGACTAAATTAGTTCTTGATAACTCTATAATCCCAATAAGGTAATGGGATTTCAACTACAAAAGGAGAAAGCCATTTGTCAAGTCAATAGCAAAAGGGATGCATGACACTGTTTGTCTTAAAGCTACTAACGACGAGCTGTTTTACATTATGAGGTGATGCCACATTATCACGTAACTAAAATGCAAAAGGAACCCTGGAGTTGTGGCAGCTATATATTTATCTCACAGCACAGCCACAACATTAACTGTCTTTATATATTTATTAATTTTTATATGTGAGTCGGTGTATGTAAGTGTGCCACCCTTCAATCAGGCAGTGAAATGAAGAGTGCGCAAAAACTAAAGTCAACTATCTTTTCTGGACAACCACGAAACAGCTGTTCAAGACGTATGTGCAGTTTCCATGGCAACCACATAGGACCTGATAGAAAAAGAGTAAGCACGACGGAGAGAGAAGAGAAAGATGAGAGAGAAATCTAAATTAGCTACAGATTGACAGGTGGACATGAATAGAGCATTATGACCTTGATAACTACTCAGATTCTTAAAAGCCAAACCTGTGACATGTTATTGGCCTTCTTCTTCTTCCATGGAAAAAATACTTCACAGTTACATCCCTACAGTAAGATATTATAAATACAGCTACATCCAATACATAAAACTGTACATGAAGTTAATCAGTAACTCTCCTGAAAATCCATGCTTTCATTTAGATATTAACTCATGCTTGTGTTCAGCACCTTCAGGACCTTTTGCCTACACAGTATATTGCAAAGTATGTGCAGTTCACTGTTAAAAAAGCAGTTCTCCACTCAGGAAAATTAGATTTACATATTGTTGAACTGGAACTGCTTGAAATAGATACAATGCCCCACGCTGACTGTTGTGCAGATACAGTGCAAGGTTGGATGTACTTTTCTCATGGCTCTCTTTTCAATTCTGTGGCTCTTCTTTCTCTTGCTGTACCCTGACATTCTATGAATCTGATCAAATCTCTGTAATGTGCGCTCCATAATGTGCCACTTACATCAGCATTGCCAATTTTCTTCGTATGGCAACCAGACACATTCTTCTCATGTAAACTATCATTCCTTGGCAGCCCTATATGAGATTACGTTCAAATCCCTTACTCTTATAAATGCGTCTGTCTCTTGGGTCCTTATCACAGAGTCATGATCACAAACGGGGGGCCGTCTCACCTCACTGCCCCATGTTTTTGAAATGAGTTTTTCATTCCTCCTTTGTTTCATTCATGATGGAAAAACACAAGTGTAGAGTTTTCAAATAGATAATGAGTCTTGTAAGAGGGAACAGGGAACCACTGCCTACTTATCCCCAGAAAAGGCCATGTAATGGAATTCAGCTTCTGTAACCATGTAATAAATGCCACCAAAGGGGGGCAATGTACACTCACAGTATTTGAAGTATTTAATAGACAAAACCCCTCCATAAATGTTGACTTGCAACTTTGTTTAAGTTGCGTCCTCCAGTGAAAGAAACACATTACTCTAAAAGACAACTCTCAGACAAATGGTGCTGGTGCATATTTTATCTCGCTTTCTTTTTTCTACAATGAAGCACTGGAATTCTCCTCGTAAAATCATGCCTGCAAAAAGAAAAAAAAGAAAAACTGAAATTGCTTATTTGTGACAGGAAAGGGAAAGTGGGACCGCAAATTGAATGTGAATGCATTTTAATCCGGTTTTACAGCCGGCCATTTTAGGGGAAACTGTCATTATGTGTACTTCTCTTCCTTTGTGTAATTTTAATTAAAATACTCAAACGTAGAAAAAAAACATCTAAATTAAATTCCATCTTCAAACCGAGCACAACTGTAAGAAATGACTTCATAACATTCACATCCTTTGCTCATTTTACCTGTCTGGACACTCATGACTCATCAAATGAAGTATACATTTAATATTAGAAGGTCGGAGAAGTATGAATTCCAGTGTAAAGTTTCATTGCAATATGACAAAAGTTGTCATTAAAGCACATTTATGAAGGATGGCAAAAAAGGGCTTCTTTTTCTATCAGCTCTGTGGGCCTAGGCCTTGTTCTGTCAAAAACATGACAGATGTCTGACACCCTTTTAATCCCAGTGTGGTGCACTGAGGGAGATATCAAGTGATGTTCCCTACCATCCCTAACATATTTACTTATTTTTCTTCCCCTTTGGTTAAGTTTCACCACCTAGGGGAGAGTATATATAGATGGAAGGCTAACAGAACAGAGCTAAGTGTCTGAAACTTCCCATAAGACTACACTACACATCACAGTGACTTCAACTGTGGTCCAGCACATCCGCCACACAGTATCTAATGATAACAGATGGATATAGTTATGATTATGGATATAACAGAGAATTCATTTGAGTTAAAATGTATTTCGTGGGCAGTGTCAAGTGGATTCCTTAAACTTTGTATTGAAGCTTTTGCTTCACTGATATAAACACATGGTGTTTAGTACTTTAGGTGTGATATGTTTCTAAGGAGTGCTCCAAAACACTCCACATGACTGGAAGCTTTTATTACCTCCACTTTCCCGACTTCCTCACTGTGGAGAAGTGATTGCACTATGAGTCCCTGTGCTGTGCCTGCAGGATGGATCTATACACATTGATCAATAATGAAAGATGGCCATTCAGACACACTTCACACAGTAATTACACTTCCATATAGTGCACACTGAACAGACACGCAGCACAGGCACAGGGGAAACACGCTCGCCCACTGGTGCAGAGACCGATCCAAATAACAATATTTCTGACTTGAGTTGGAGTCCCCACTGAGGGGACTGTGAATGCATACGGTTGCATAATACAGGTAATCTTTACTGCCAGCAGGAGAAAAGTAGGTTTGACCCGAGGTCTGCGGCAGCTAAAAAGGCCAGGATACAAGAGACACTAAAGGATCATGAGGCTATGAATGTCTTAAATGACAAGCCATTAAACAGTACTGGTCTAAAGAATGGATGTTCTAAAGCAGAGCTGCAGGCTTCACACATACACATGCATGCAAAACAGCAATAATCATTAGAAAACAGCAAATTGTTCTAACACAACAAAGTACTGGTGATTTTCTGTGTAAGATCTGATATATGAATGGGGTGCACAGTGCAAAACTGGAGCTCATGAGATTTCGGTTTTTAAAGAAAGTGCTTCAAAGAAAGATGCGGATACAGTCCACAGGTGTCTTAAGATGAGTTTTGGAATTGTACCAATCAAAAAGAGGTACCAAAAACCTCTCAAGATTTGATAACCAAAGTTGGAGAAACCAGCACAAAATGTCATTAAATAGCATTTTTGGAGAGTTAAGACATGGTAAATATTAATAGTAGGTTCCATGGTTACGAGAGCAACAGCTTCACATTCTGATGATTGGTTTAAAAAAAAAAGAAGCAGTTTCACCAAATGTCAAAACACAAGCGAGCCAGATGTTTGCATATGACAGATAAACCCGTGAACGAAGATGACGTGCAGTATTCTCAGATCTACAGCTAGAGCTGTGTGTCCGTGCTATATCTAACCTTAACCCTGCGATATCCTTCGTAATCCAAAAGCATCTTTGCTGCTGTTATTTAGCTTCATCCATTTTCCAATGTTCCCTTTTCTCAGTGTGTTTGCCCTTCCCTCTTCTCTCTCCCTCATCTTACTTCCTGTACAAGACGAATGATAAGAAAAACAAAATCCTTTTGTGACTGCGTGTGTGTAGACTGTGTGTGCATCTCTTATTATCTGGCTGTCGTGTCAGCAGACAAAGTTTCAGCACCTCGTGCCTCGATTTTTTTAATTTTATTTTTTAGTTAAGGCTGAGTCTTATTTGTTAATCTCTCTTTTTGTGTCTTTTTCAGTCACAGCTTCTTAAAGAGCCACCTAAACATCTTTAATTATTTTTCAATAATCATCACCGTCTGAAGCAGACGGCGCTGACAAATTAAGTTGAGATATTTAAATGTATTCAAGATAACAGACATTTTAAAGATACAAGTGTATCTTTAACAAGTATATCACTTGAGCTTACTCTAGAAGGGATCCATGAAATGATAGCTTAATCGTAATGCTGAAAGCATAACATAATTAAAATATTGGGTCTTTTTGGAAGTCATACAGTATATGATCTACTGCTTAAATAGTGACTGTGTTTAAACCCCAACAACAGCTTTTTGGAAATCAGCCAGGCATGATACACATAGCCATAGTTCCAGTATAGAGCATGAAACTGATGTGCGGCACACAGAGTTCATAGCTATTGCTAATTTCTAACCCTAAGTTTAAGTTTGCCAGTGCCAAATATGTTCCCACATTACTCTGGGACAGTCCTGGCCAGAAGCAAATCCTATCTCTCTTTACAAAAAAGGCTAACACGAGCAGAGATAGTGAGAAAAACGTATCACTTCGAGCACCAGCACCACTGAAGAATACTAAAGAAGAGGCATTGTCAGGATATACAGTACTGAGTGCTGATGGATCCAACTTCCAAGTGTAAACTCTAAGTGGTTTGGACAGATCCTTACGCAGAGGCACTGACCCAAAAGAACCAGACAAGCTAGCATAAAAAGAACAGCTGATGAATCTTTAAGGCAGTATTTTTCTTCAAAGATAAAGATATGAAGTGTTCCCTTATCTACAGACGCCTCTGCATGAATCTACTATTTTGTTTCATTTGGAGCCAGTTCTTGTTTTGAGCACCAAATGGTCACAAAGCCCTCACATAGCAAGACAAACGGCGGCCTGGTACCGCTTGAGCATCATGGTGGGGCTTAGGTGATTAGGCAGAGGAGTATGCGATCCATGCCAAGCCAGTGAACCCTGTTTTCAGGTTGGCTTTAGCAGTGGCACACCAGCTGCTCCCACATACCCCAGCTGAATCTTACTGGCAGCCAGGGAGCAGAGATTAACACAGTGACCTGCAAAGTCTGCCGGAAGGACTGACGGAGATATGCTCAGACAGATGTGTCGGTGACTGGCAAGTGACTGTCATAGACAAAAAGAAAAATGGTAAGGTTGGACAAAAAGATGTGCCTTTTGGAGTAAAATGTGAATACCCTTTAAATTTCAAGAGGCTTGTTTTGTGACAGAATGATGTCAGCATCAGAAGTTAGTGTGTTTTTATTGTCTGAGGAAAGCTTGCAGACTCCTTTTTCTCTGGCTGGTAACAGATAAATACACACACACACAGACAGGAACAAAGAAACATTCTCAGACATAGAAACCGACACAGGAGGGCAGACAACGGCGCTTTTCGCCGACATCAGTTAAATCACAGTCATTCTGAAGCCACAAGAAAGTCTGTGAAGGTTCTCAGTCATCCAGGTCATCGTAGTCAAAGGAGCTTGCAAAGAAAAGCGTCTGGACTTCTTTAAGTTGCTTGAAGACGTTTCACCTCTCATCCGAGAAGCTTCTTCAGTTCTAAGGTCAAATGGTGGAGAGTCCCAGATATAAACCTAGTGGGAGTGACCCCCCACAGAGGGACAAAAGGACCCCCTGATGATCCTCTAATCGCCTGAGCCAAGGTGGGAAACTGGGCGTGGGTCCCAATCAGCCGGAGTTTCGGGTGTGTTCATTGTGAAGAACACAAGAAAGTGTTTTTAACCATTTTTAAATGCTTTAATGGACTATTAACTATCAGCCAATCAAACAGCCGTATCACATGTTCTTTCTTTATCTGTTGAAGAACATTCTTATGTCATCTAGCTCTCTGTCAGTGTCACTGAACAGCATATGTAGGTGGGATTGTTTTCAACACTTTGCTCTCAAAATCAGGTATTGCCATCTCTGCTACCCTCTTGTTACCCTCGTGTTAACCAGAAGCAGACACGCCCACTCGCAGAAAAATCCGAACACACACCTTCTTTGTCGTTATGATGAATGATGGCATCCTGTATAATATCGGCAGGCCTGAAGCGAACGTGGTGCTTCTTGCGGTGCGTGGGCAGGGCTCGAACCTTGACTCCACCTTGCTGGCGCTGAAGGCTCTTTTCTCTCTCATAGTACGCCCTTATTTGTTCACAGCGCATCCTCCTGACCAGCCTTTGGCGCTGGCCAATGGGAAGAGACTCCAGCAGACACTGGTCTATCTCCATGTTCTGGCGAAAGACGTTACATAGCTGGAAGCAACCTAGAGACAAAGAGAGAAAGCCAGAAACAGCAAAATAACATTAGTAATGTTTTATCTCAAAAAAATTATGTTGCGTCATTTGTCTTTTTTTTTTACATAAGATTTGTTTTTATTCAAGTTTTGAATGCAAGCTGTCCATGCTTCAGTGAGGAGGACAACCTGGTGAATGAGTGAAAACACTATCCCGCTAAACATGTCCTATTGGTGCTGGTGTGGGCCCACTGTGGAGGGCCCCAGACACCCCACACAAAAGTGCCCACATGGGTAAGTCTGCCATGATAGTTTACACAGTAAATAAGAAAATGCTCTCTGATTAAAAACAGAAACAAATTTACCTAAAGATGCAGCCGTACATGTCATTTACTTTAAGTCTTGTTCCTGACAAGCAGAGATTTGCGTGGATACCCAGATTTATTATTAGGGCTGTGGTCTCAGGCTCGACTTGTTGATTTTTTTGGATGATATGCAAACGAGCCTTGGTCAGAAAATAGCCGGTGTTACTCAGATAAGGAGACAACACTTTATCAAAAGCAGTCGAGGATTTATCACCCACACGGCTTCACAGCTTTGTACTTGGCCAGCTCGATACAGACTGCTAGGTCAAACGTATGCAATGTTTACATTTGTTCAGCTTTAGCAAAGAGTGTACGCTGACTCAATCATATCATGTCAAAGAAGCACTCTGTGTGGGTGCGTTTTCGGCCAAAAAATGACAAGTATAAACCTTTTCACAGTTCATCGCTGAAAAGTATGAACATATCATCAGTGTGCAGCAGAACTGTCATTTTTCAACTGTCATATTTTCACCTTGATTTGTTCTAGTAATCTTTTTTTTTTTTTTCCTTTTTTTGACACGTTCATCCGGCCACAGCTGTACAAACTCCAGTGTCTATCAGTAGCAGCTGCTACACAGACCAAGCTGTCTCCCTCATTGGAAGGGAAAGTGATATCACAGGGGGAATAGCAGAATTTGTTATTGCTTTATTGCTTGTTTCCTCAGCAGCTCTTATGCTGAATCACCAGCTGATGTAGTTCTATTTTTGGATAACACATGAATATGGGCAGGTGCTCAGTGATCGGATCTGGCCTGTGATCTTGTTTTCAGTCTAACATAATGAGCTTAAAGAGATGTAACGCGATAGCATTGGGTCATAGTGGAGGATATCTTCATGTAATAACTGTAAATACTCACAGCAACAAAACAGTGTCAGCTGAGTTCTTCAGCTTTGTTCACCAAGATAGTGAACCAAAGAAAATTGTGCCCTACATTAAATATGTGTATTTTGGTCTTAGCTTACTTTGCTACTCAATCATTTTGGAGAAATCATCAACACCCCAGCGAGAGGAAAGTTAAACCACAAACACACCCTTTAAAAAGTAATGAGGGTGAATGGAGATTCAAAACATTTCACTTCCAAACATCACAGATGTTCTCTTATGAATTTTACTTGTTCAGAATAAATTTGAAGAAAGTTATTATCCAGAATGCCTTACATTTAAAAAAAAAAAGTAGTTAGCACACTGAGATCTTATTTATTCATTCATTTATTAAACATGTCTCAGATAATAAGAAGCATCCATGTCCTCAGGTGTGTTGAAGCGGTAATGTGTTCTCTAAATATCAGCTTTTTATAGCAATTTTATTTATAAAGCACATTTTATTATGTAAACTTAATGTGCTTAACAAAGAAGAGAAAAACATAAAAAAGATCTGTGAAGCTTTGCCTTAAGGCACAAAAGCAAAAATAAAATGTAAGAAACAAATCAAGAGCTGCTTTTTATGCTTATTTATAATTCACTGAGGACAATAATTCTAGAAAATATGCTGCACTCCATACACCAAACAATTAGTGCAGAGCAAGTGTGATTATTTTGTTTAGTACAGCTCTAAACTTTGCACATAAAAGAATAAATTCTTTGCTGATTTTAAATTTAAAAAAGTATTCTGAAATTGCTGAACAATTTTCCCACTCGCTCTTTCACAAAGTGGTAAAAGCCTCCCAATCGTTACTTCTGAAACTATCAGCCTCTCTGGGATGCGCTTTCTTTTTATAGCCAATCATTTTACTAATAAGTCTAATTTCTTTTATTTGTTTTCATTACACGACCTTTCCAATCTTCCTGCCCTGACCTTTGCGGGCATTTAATGACTACATGATTTTCTCAGGTAATTTTCAGTTAGTTAACAGTTTTAATAATTTGGGAATGATGGCATCTTGATTTACGCTGTTAAAAACATTTTTTTAAACCAAGCTGCATCCTTTTTTGTTTGTGTCAGCATTTTGCCCAGTTGTGTGCAGGCAGTCGTTTAGCATCCCAGCTGTGAAGGATATTTGCTCATTGTTTAGCCCTGGGGTGGGTTGTGTGAGACACCACAATATTTTATGTGTTGTTTTTTTTCTGTCCTAACAGAGTGTATCAATTCTTCTGACTGTGCATAATCTATCTGCCTCTCAGTGGAACGTAGCCAAACAGATCTCATCACAAGGCAGCTGCGAAACTTATTCTGGTCTGCTTGGGTGATGTAAAGTAGTGGGACTCTACAGCAGGAGGGCCAAGCCTCGGAAGACCAAAAGAGCTCATGTAGAAATATAAAAAATCAAAAGATGCTAACACTTTTAGGAATAATAATTTGTTACAAAGTAAGTTAAAGTGCAAACAGAAGACGAACTGTCATGACAGCACTGATAATATGACAAATTCAGGTCATAGTCAGCCCAGAGGACAAGCAAAACATGAAGACAAGATAGTCTTTGCACAGACAATGACTCACTTATGTCTCTTTGGGCATGTTATATCCCACTCCTTACATTTCTCAAACTGCTCTTCTTTTATTGTGCTTGTTTTTTTTTCTTCTTTGCCCACTTTTGATTTAGTTCTCTCTTACTTTGAGTATTTTTGTCTGTTCACTGATGTAGCACTCTTTTTCTCCGTCATCTGTCTGCTTCTCTTTTAGGGTGACTGAGCACACATCAGTGTTTTCAGCAGGTGAAAAATACTGTTAGCAGGGCACTTTTAAAGCACTGCATGCTTTCCAACACCTTCTGTTTCTTTGTCACAACTTTATCAGGTCTTAAATATCTTATTTTTCCAGAGCTCCAGACTGTGACTGGTCACACTTTACCGTCAGAGGAAATAACAGTATCAGACACACATTATTGTTTATTTCTGTCCCAGGGTGTTTTCTGTCTGTTTCTTACTTTGTATCTGTGATGTTAGTTTTCCATTGTTTTTACACATTAGAGAGTGTTGCAAGTTATCTCATATAAGTGTAATATGCATAAGAGCTATGCACATTTGTTCCCCAGTGCAGCACTTGCACTACCACCTGAGAATCTTGGCACTAGAGCCAACTTTCTGAGACTGTAAACTGGGGCTTTTCTTTCAACAGTGAAAAGCAACCTAACAATAAAAGAAGTCCTTAACTGTCGAGGCGTAAGTACATTGCTGTTACTTTTTAGAGTATACCAGAAGCTGTCATTTGAAGGGGCTGGGGTGTGTTCGGATTTTTATCAGGCAGAAACAAAGACGTCCTAGCAGACAAAAAGATGCTTCTGTGTGCTTTTTTTGTTTGTTTTTGTTTGATATACATCTACACATTCATTTGAACACCTGCCCCCCCCCCCCCCCCCCCACACACACACACACACACACACTTCCTTCACAATACATCAGTGCCATCTGCTCTGGACAGACATGTAAAAAAAGCGTTCTTTTGTATTCAAGTTCCAGACGGGAGTGGTGGGTGGGGGTCATTATTATACTGCTCATGCCAGGTGCTTCAACTGTATTTTATTTTGGGAACTTGGCTAACGGTTGAAACACAGAAACACACTCAACCTACTGCTTTTTCTAATAATATACGACAATGTGTCTCCACAGTCTTGCATTCTCAGTCCCACAGTTGTTGCCTTATTTTTCTCCTGTTCTTATATGCACACGTGACAAATTAAAGGAAAAACCATCATAAATTGTTTTAATAAGGTGTTGGGTTACCACATGCCTACAGAGGAGCTTAATTGCAACATGACATTAATTCAGTGAGTCTCTATATCTCTTCCGTGGGGAATTAAACATCACTCTGCCAAAGGATATCCCCTCACATGATGGTCGTTCATCTAAAGTCTCACATAGATCTTCAATTTGGCTGAGAGGTATTGGCTGTGAAGACAGTATGTGATTCATATTAACTTTATACTTATTTCTCCAATCAGTGATCCTTCATGATCTACGGAAGGGGGGGCATTATAATTTTGAGAGAGACCACTACCATCAGGAAAGGAATGCTTCATGATAGGTTAAAAGGGATCAATTTGAGCAATCTTGCATTAATTTATAGTGACTCTACCCAGGAAAGATACACGTGAATCTTAACAGTGTCATCAAAATACCTCCTACGACATATCAGAGGATGACCTTGCTGTAGGCGTTCAAGGATTAAGGGTTTTTTCCTTTAATTTGACTGGTGTGTATTGTGTCATCGTATCTATTTCATTCACTGCAGAGTTGAAGATCAAAAAGAAGAAGAAAAAGATGAAACAGACCATCAAGACCAGACACGTGTAGTGCATCACACCTGCACATACACATGCGCACACCTCAGAATACTTTTCAGTCCAAACCCAGGAGAAGAAGTGGCATGTTATTTCCTTGATTACAACAATTAATCATTTTTACGTAAAATAAAAACAAATGCAGCAACAGTCACATCTAGATCATACTGATATTTTGTTCAATAACTTGAACTTTTTAATACCCCCCCCCAATAATATAGATTATCGTTTTCTGATCAGCTGACTGTTTCTTGCCTCAGTCTCTGTCCTCACTGTTCCTACTGCTTGTTCCTTGGTTGTATCCTCTTTGTCCACACTCTTTGTCACCCCAATACATCATCTATTAAGCATACATTCAAGGTTACAGTCACACAAATCCATAAACTCCCAGTCCATGACAGACAACAAATAAGATGACATATTAGGGCAGACAGCCCACACATGAACTGTAGGTGTACAAAGCATGTAAGATAGATGGGTATAAAAATAGGCTAAATACGAGGAGAGTATATCACTAGAAACTGAACATTTTTGTTCAGCTTCTAGTAAGGTGCACCTCACTTTCCACATAAAATTTCGTGCACATCACATCACCTTTTAATAACCTGCAATTTATTTTCAAATATTAGGACATAACTTCTGCACTAAGTGGTCAAAATAACAAGATACACTGACTCTTGCTACTATGTGATGAATGGTTGTGGACAAATACATCAGACCAGGAAAGGACTAATCGGAAATGGGTCTGAATGAATCTGGGATATGGATTAAGTGGATATGCAGAGAGAGAGAGAGAGAGAGAGAGGGAAAGAAAGCGCGAGCTTTCTTCTTCTGCCATCCCATCTCCAAGCTATCAGTTATTGATTAAATGTAGAGCATCCCATGCAGGCTCCAGCAGGCTTTGGCTAATAACACAAACACCATTGCAGGAGGTTGTAAATTGCAAAATACCACACATACACATATACAGTTAAATGCACACAAACTCACATTTATGGTGTCTATAAGCTGCAGACACCATAAATATGCAGGATATGTAGGAGAGGGGATGTGGATGATTAAGAGGTGAGGTGGGTTCTTAGAGTGAAGGAGAGACTTTGACAGCCTGCATCACCTCTATCATAGCACTCAATTATCTTTCCTCCTATATTCTCCCTTTTTCCGGTCTTCATTGCTGTTGCCTCTCAAATATTTGCATCTATCACTCAAAATTTGGCCACATTCCTTATGTCACTCCTTCCATCCATTTCCCAATAATGCCATCCCCTCCCTCTCTCCCGTGCTCCTCTAAACCACCATCAGTTTTCTCTCCATCTGTCTTTCTCTCCTTGAAACCACTTTCTCTCTGTGAGTCTGTTAGTGTGATGTGAATATGCCAGACACTCGTGGGAGCTGCATCTTTGTGGCTTTACTTCATCTTCCTTTCCTTCGTTTTGCTGCTACCTGCCGCATTCACTGGTCAACTTCACTCTTCTGCAGCAGCTCTCTGCAGCAAGCTCACACACCCACTTACTGCACGAACACACACACACACACACACACACACACACACACACACACACACACATACACACACACGCGGGGGGGCACAAATACCCATTTGAAGTTTAGACCACACCGCTGCTGCGTCTGCAGCAAATGACCAGAATTCTTAAGCATGTGAACTCATACAGTATGGCAGCTTGAACATACAGTAAGTGCTAATGCAACAGACACACACCCATGGCTGACAAGTCTACTTGCATGCATAAATATAGAACTGCTGAATGGCTACTTACAACATTTGATGAAATGGTAGTGAGACATTTTCTGAGCAAGTCAGACAGTCCAACAGTCAGGTAGGAAGGCAGGCAGGCAGAAAGGTATGCGGGGAGTCAGTGAGTGAGGAAAGCAGGCAGATGGTAGGCAGCTACAGGTTCCAGAAAAACTAACTAAAGCAGAGCTCATAACCGGCACGATACATTATTAATCTGGCTCACTGCATGCTATCCAAACTCTGTTCCCCTGTCTGCATTATTCACCACCACCAGTAGCAGCTCCGGTTGCAGCTCATGCAGCATCTACATGCATACAGTTCATCTCTCGCTTTCTCACACACACTCTCACACACACACACACACACACACAGACATGCACTCTCTCGGTCACCCCTTCGGCAACACGGAGCTGCGGCTGGTTCTAGCTCTTCTCGCCTACAGCCGGATAACCACTGCACAACGTCTTCCCAGCCATAGCCAACACACGTGCTCCACTGGCGTCACTGACTGGCAGCCGGCTCAGCCCACCTCCTGTTCAACACACCCCCAATGACGCAATGCTCTTCGCCTCCTTACACACCCCCCTCCTGGTTTTCTTCACACACACACATATGCAGTGACTCATACAGATGCACGCTTCTTTGGACTATCCTCTACCTTCTCAGCCCAAAAAAAAAAAAAAAGGCGGCAAGAAAGGATCCATTGAGCTATATTATAGATATAACGCAGAGAGAGCGAGACAGACAGATTGTGAGGAGGGCTGTTTGATTAAACTGAAGAATTGCAGACACAGCAGGGGGAGCAAGAGAAAGAAAAATAAGCAAGAGGCAAAAAGAGAGGGGAGTGTTAAATTTGATAGGACAGCTAAAGACATAGAGAGAAAGAGAGGCGAAGCTGCTGCAGTGCGGCTTTTGGTGTGGTGACAGGTTAAGTGTTCATCAGCGGTCTTAAACTAGCCTCAAATTTACTACCGATAAAGATAGTTTATAGAACGTTGGAGCTTGAGCGCAGTACGTTTAGACGCCACTATAATGCACTTATCATGCAGCAACAAACCACAGGGCATGGTGCAATATGAACTATGTGTGTCTGTAGGGCGATCTCTATGATTTTGTCCTTTAAGGCTGATTTGCATTTACTAAGCTTTGTGTTAAAAAGGGATTTGTGCAGGATGGGAATGTGAGAAAGAAGGAGGAAGAAGAGACACAGCGAGAACAAGAACAGAGAGAAGCTGAAACACACTTAAAAAAAATGGATGATAGTAGTAGAGGTTAACAGGGTGTGCAGTGTGTGAATCAATCTGGATTGCGACGCACGTTTTAGAAATCTGTGGCGTGGCGCTTACACATCTACAGCCTGAATAGCATGCTGATTTTCCCGTGTGAGATTTTGAGGCACAATCGCTGTCAAATATGAGCGAGCAGAGATGGGATTAAAGCACGTGAGAAGCAGGTGAGGTTCACTCCGCGTTGGTGGCGAACAGTGAGGAGTAACAGAGCAAACTTGAAAGAGACTGGGGGAAAAGAAAAGACACACTGGGAGTTAGATTTGTGTGTATGTGTGTCAGACTGGATACTCGAGTAATTCCTGTCATAGGAAATCAGGTCAAAGCAACTGCTCGCTGCATCGTATGCAAAGTACAGCTTGAGCAACTACTACAACAACTACCGGAGTAAAATCAGGTGCCTGTGTTCAAGTGTGTGCAAAGACTGCACTATGCAGAGTAATTCAATCGTACTGCTACATGTGTTTGCACACAAACACAGAGACAACAGACAAATTCACATCTTTACTGCACTTGCAAGCCAAGTAGTAAAGTGTTTTTGGGATAACACAATGACTATCCCATTATCACTTTTGAAATGGAGATCGCACAACAGTACATTCTGACAGGGGAATGTCATGCGTTCCCATCTAAATGTCTTTAAGCATTAATGGCGCATGTTATCTGCGCCTGGAGTAATAGAGACTTAAGATGCCATATCAGAAAGCGGTGGCTTGCTGGAAAACTGGAACATGAGTACTGTAAAACAGAGTTTCAAAGTGAGACATCACCCTAGAAGGGAAGTCTGTGGCAACAGAGACAGGACAATAAATTGTTGACACGTAATGATAATTTCTATCTCTCTGCAGCCACAAGTAAGCAGCGAGATAGAGTGACGAAAAGAGATAAAAACAACAGATGTAAGGACTCCATTGTATATAACAGCCATCTAAATCTCTGTCAAAGGAAAGCACGGCTGCAGTCACTTGTGTAACTATCCACAATCTGTTTTCTTGGCACTATCTATGTCTTTATTGTTTCAAAGTCACTCACAGTGTAGCACATGCTGTTTCTGGTAGAGACTGAGGCTCTCTTCTTCTTCTGTGCAGCACTGACAGGTTTTCACTAAGGCAGCGTTTGATGCACAGATCATAAATTTCATTCACTTTGACACAGCGGTCACTCTGCCATCATCACCCTCAGCTGTCAATCAATGCTGCAACTGTGTTACCACCATGAATTTTGTGCTTGACATCCTAGAGAGTGAGTACATTTGTTCTTAAGTGTGATCTCTTCAACTGAGTTCAGTGGTGACGGATCCAAGGTGCAGGAAAGGTTCCTAATAAAGGCAAAGCCAAAGGCACTTAGCACTTGAGGTATTATATATTAAAGGAGACTGTGAATTCAGTATTTCTCATTTCCATTTGATAGATTTATTTGTGTAAATCCGTTCCAGCTACTTACAATCCCATATATTGTATCATGCTATTGACACAAGGTGCTCAAGTAAACATACACCAAACATAATTTGCTATTTCGTGTATTTTTTTAAATGATCTGTTTAACACCTTGCAATCATATTTTTTTGTTCTGTTTTGTTGATTTTTTTCACTGCACAAAGTGTTATTATCATTTTGCTAATCTGTCCTGTTTTTCTTACATTGGTATCATTTTTAATTTATGGTAATTGTGCTACTGACAGTACTTTCTTCATTCAGGATTCAATTTAAAATCCTCTATATTAGGTTTGGTCATAATTGTTCATGACAATTGGTCGAGCCCATTGCCGACTTGTGCTGTGAGGGCATGAAAAATAATTAACTTGTAGAGCACAATTGATGAATACTGGAGCAAGATTCTTCCTTTAGGTTGTGGAGAACGACAGTGGAGACACTGATTGAGACTATTATGGATTGAGCTAAGAAGCTAGCTCAATCCATAATAGACAAGCTAGCTGCTAACTTGGTGCGCATCACCATTAGCTTAATGATATTTGTTAACCCCATCTGTTTGTTCATTCAGAAGCTTCAAGGTGTTCTTCATCTAGTTCCTAGAGACTGGTTGGTGACCTCCTGGCAACCACTGGTCCCTAGGGAAAAACAATTATTCCCCACTAGTTGTGAGTGGTTGCTATACTCCCCACTGCTTTGCTTGCTAACAGACTGCTGTAGTCACCCATAGTTTTAACGGAAGATCTGTCTACAACCACCACAAAGAGGTAGCGAAACCTGAGAAAGTGTGTCACAAACTGGAATCTGAGAATTTCTACCTTCAAATTTAGAGCTGCTTACTGCTAAAGCCAGCATGTTTCAATAGGTGCAACCTTTCCTTTGAAAGTGAAAAGGCTCTTTTTCCGGTAACCGTTTTTTTCAAGTTTCACTTCTACTCAGTTAGAAAGTGTTTGTGGACAAGTTGGCCTCTTCCCAGCAAATTACAGGTGACTCGAGCATTCTGCTAGTGGCCAAAGCAATCACAAAGAAGTTTTTGGTGCAGGACCCTCTCTGTGACTGATTTTACTCAGCATCAACCAGCAACTTCCAGTAACTTCTGGCCAGCCAATCTGGGAGTACACATTTTTCACACTTTTCTCTTCAGCGACCAAATGTTGTCAGGGTTTACCATCTGGTGCCTCAGTCTATCACGTTTGTGTGGTCTAATACAAAAATAATCCCAAGTATGTGAGTTTATTTTTATTTATTTTTTTTGCGGCAAGCTCATTCATGCATGTGCATGCATGCGGGAGTGGGTGGCACTGCACATGTATCAAAAAACTGCAACTGTCTGTTGTTGATGGTGGCCAGTAGACAATTTTTAACATACTGCCCAAGCTTTCTATATTTTTCTCTCTGTATTCTGTGTGTACTCTTACAATCTGCTGTCAGAATTATATTTTTTATGCAGGTTTTATGGTAAGATTAGTATTAGTATCAATATTGGTGTTGACAGAGTACATGCCAATTTACACTCAAATGTAATCAAAAAGGTCAACGTATATTCATTGGCAATGCAAACAGCTACACTAATACAACTGACAAATTACTGAACTAATAACTACACTAATATTTCCTAAGCCACACACATTATGTGTTAAATCTTTTTGAATCACCTTCTAAACTGAATAATTGTGCAATCTGATCATTACACAGTAGCAGCTCAAGCCAGGTTTAAATTAAATGGCAGACTATCTAATATCCTTAATACCAGTTAATAACATAGCATCAATGTTAGTTAATTCTAAGGTGGATTGCTGCCTGCAGGGGGAAGATTTAAGCATTTCTCTGCACAATGCTGCAGATCACAGAGAAACTACCTATAAATACAGAAAAGAGGTCAAACAGCATTATCCTCTCTCATTTGTCCTGTTACTAGTCTTACTAAAGCACCACTTTGTTTCATTGGATAGTTTGTTACTATGCATCAGTGAAATAAAAGGTTGCATCAATTATTTCAAGGACATTGCGGCCTGTCACAGTGCATTAGTGGAAAACAAATTGAATATACAATGATGAACAGAGGTCGAACAGATGAAGGTAAAATGGTATCAGTCCCAGTACCAGTCAGCTATGCCAGGGTGACTCAATAACAGACAGGTGTTAACAAGCTATGCTGAGCCTGTGAGCTTCAGCAGCTCCCAGGCACTGACCTAACAGTCACAACTGCAGAATTGCATGTTCTTATAAATCAGATTTATGGGCTTCAGACATGGCAGGCAATTTCATCTTTGACCCATTCATTTTTAAACTAACAAGCACAAACAAAATAATGCCTGTTGTGTTCAGTTGCTGGATCACACTATGCTGAATCTTGTTTTCTGAATTGTTTTGCTGGAGTATTTTATGAACACACAGGTATACGATGCAAAATAACAAACCTTTTGATTTTCACCTGCTAGTGACTAATCAGCTGGTTTTGTATAGAAGAGCAACTTATTTTTTGCCAGAAAGAAAAGAAATCATAGATGAAACAGTTTTGAAAATGGAAACATTTTTTGTAAAAAAATAAAAATAAAAAGCAAAAAGCAATTTTTTTCTTCAAAGGAAGGCACATAAAAATGCTTTGCTTTGCTGTCAACACCAAAATTCAGGCATTTTCTGAGTGATTACATGAATCAGCCATTAAATAAAATGTTTATAGTAATGTTCAAACCCGTATGACGACTTGTTTGTTTC